GGAAAGTCCTTTCCGTGCCGCTTACTGACTCGAGAGAACCCGGTGCTCCTCTCTACTCCTTCTCAGTACACGAAGCACCAGGCCTGTCTGCAGGGCACGGGGCAAAAGAGCAGAGGTCCTGTCTCAGGCTTTGTATGGGCACTGCTCCTTTTACTCCCCAATTTCTCTTTGGAAAACTAGCCATCTTAGATGTTGGGGGTCTCACCACCACATCTCTCAACAAAGCAGGGGCTTTGTCCATCACCTTTGAGACTGTATGACAAGGGGGCATCCCTGGGTACTGCAGTTCCACACAGATATCTGAGGGTCAAAGCTCCAGAGGCCGGTATAGGGCGGAGACAGGGTTGGTGCAGAGATTTGGGAACAGGGTCACCCCGTTCCTGTCTCTGTCTCTTATGTGCTGCTGGGCCTTAGGACGCTCACTGCCCCTGAGCTCCAGTTTCCAGGCCTATATGCATTTCACATAGGGCTTCACAGGATGTACACAATGAGAAAATTAATAGAAAGCCATGGTTGTGTGTGGCAAGCTTGGTATGAAATACCAGGGCTTGGGTGCTGAGGCACTCTTTAGTTTTTAAGAGCTGGAACCGGACACAGTGCTACCAAATGTTCATAAATGTGACCACCTTTGAACATCACAAAAAGCAACACTAGAGTGTTATGACTGTTTCTGGTATTGGAAGGGACAGGCACAGAGAGGTCAAGTAACTTGCCCAAGGCTACACATCTAGGAGAGCAAAGGACGTGTCCCCTGACTTCCCTCCCTTTTCTCCTCTCCCCTCACCCCACTGTCTCCATTCCCATTTCTCTCTCCCACTCCCGTCCTCAACTCTCAGGCTCTCTAGCATGGCACACGCATAAAGGGATGAATGAACAGTGTTTGTCTCGCACGTGCTTCTGATCTCCAGGAGATTTGCACAGGCCCGAGGATGGGCTGTGAGGAAGGTACATCAGCTCCACAGATGGCCCGCGTGGGAATTGGGTACCAGGAGCATGAGAAAGGCTCAGTGGGAGCAAGAAGTGATCCCAGCTCCACCTGTTGCCTGATTTCACACAGAGCCAATATAAAGGTCACCAACTGGGCGGGACCCACTCACCCTGCTCACCCTGCTCACCCTGCATTGATATTATGACTATTTCTTAAAGATTCTTCACTGCTTTGGAAGACTATGAAGCTTTCTCTTTTGCTGTACTTTGTTTCCCAGAGACAAGACTGCACTGCGTAGTCTCAGCTGTCCTCTGACTCTTGGTCCTCCCATGGTCCTTTGCTGTGTAGGCTACACAGTCTGATGCAGGGTGGAGGAGCTCCCCAATGGCTTCCACTGGTTCCTCTAACAATCCTGTCACCAGAAGGTTCTGTTGGCTCCTCCAGCACTGGCCTCCTGCAGCCAACTCCTCTCCCTTCCTCACTACCCCAAACACAGTGCCCTGGTGTGAAGGGACTAGGACATTCTTCCTGTGAGTCTGCCAACATGTAGATGACAGAACCCACTAGGTCACTTAATTTCCCTGTACCTAGCACAACATCCCAGAATCTGGGACATATGCTACGATAGCCTCACGGCCTTTGAGAGGCCACCAGCTCTGTTTTCACACATCCCTCTGGGGAGGAACCGGGAGCTGCAGAAGAGCATATCCGGTGCAGCACCACTGTCTTCCCACGAAAGGAATGTACCTTGCCTCAGAGCCAAGTGAGCACTCAGAAGGGCTTGCGGTTCTTGGTTCCCATCTGCTCACTGAACTGGAACAGACAGAATCAGCACTGAGTCTCTACCCAAGCCGAGACTCTGCAGAGGCATCCTGTAGTTGGTAGCCACATGCATGGCCTAGTTTGCCTGGCCTCTTGTACATCCTGAAAAACCCACCCAGCAGGAGGGGGAAGAAGAGCTGCCTCAAGCTGACCAGCAAGTTTTCTGCTGTTGAATTCAGTTTGAGAAATTCCTGTGACAGCACTGTATGGGAAGGTACACAGACGTTCATGTGGCACATAAAAGAGACTGTGTGGCCTAGTTCCTGAAGGCTGCTCACACCAGGCAACTCAGGAGTGAGTCAGTAAACAGCCAAGGCTCACAGTGATTGTGTATCCATGACTCAGTCACCCCAAAGATGTCATGTATGGATTCTTCTTCATGGTCCAAACTCATGAGTGAGTTACCTTTGAAATACACCCAGCAAAGAAAAGATCCCAACATGGTGACTTTTCTGGACAATTTATATTCATGCTTTCTAGAAATCTTGCCATCAGGACACCAAAGCATATTCTAAGGTACTGGGCCCACATGAGTCTGCATAAGTTTGGCCTTTAACTGGGTTCAGTGAAGGCCCTGGCAGTTGACACCCTGACCCAGTCCCTCTCTTGGAAATTGAAGGAATTGCCCAAATAGTCCATGTTCTTCAGTCAAAGTGGACTAAAGGAATGTGTGTAAGCCTCAACCTCAGGCGAGGTCAAGATCACCGTCCAACCAGCCATCAAAAATGACACGGAGGATGTCAGGGATGAGCTGTGGCTGGTGGCAGTCAGGTCCTTGTGTCTTGACATCTATCTGGTCACCACCTAGCTGGTCACTATGCCATGTTCACTTATGTACAAATAAGAAAGAGAAAGTCGCTCTATAGACATGGGAGGAAAGGTCCACTATACTGGAAGGCGTGGGGTTTCTCCTGCATGCAGAGATCATGGGTGGCCCGCTACAGATGGGGGCTTCTCCTGTATGAAGGTGACTGCAAAGATGAAACCTACTCCCAGTCTCTGTTGTATAGAGGGCAGACCCAGGATTGCCACTGCGCTTTCTAAATGATTGCGGTGGTGTGAACAGGAACGGCTCCCATAGACTCACGTGTTTGAATGCATGGCCCATAGAAGTGGTATGACTAGGAGGTGTGGCCTTGTTACAGGACGTGTGTCATTGTGGAGGTGGGCTTTGAGGTCTCATATGCTCAAGCTACACCCAATGTGGCTTACAGTCTCCTTCTGCCGCCTATGAATCAAGATGTAGAACTCTCAGCTCCTTCTCCAGCACCACGGCTGCCTGCACACCGCCCTGCTTCCCACCATATCAATAACTGACTAAATCTCTGAACTGTGAGTCAGTCTCAATTAAATGTCTTCCTTTAGAAGAGTTGCCATGGTCATGGTGTCTCTTCACAGCGATAGAAACCCTAACTAACACAATGACTCAACTCCAGAAGCCCTATTCCTCAGTCCTGAGCCTCAGTTGGTGAGCTTGTTTCACGGGACTGGTGCTCTTGGTGGACATTCCTCATGGAGGCTTCTGAAAAGGGGAGGGAGAAGCAGGAGGTGGAGAAGGGGTAGATTCAGCTTCAGAGAACGCTCTTAGTGATACAAGAGTGTGGTGGGTTGAGCTAGTTCCTAGAACTTTACATGCAGATGGCCTTGGCAGATGTAATTAAAGTAGGCACCTTGAGTTGGGAGACCACTGCAGGTCTGGATGGTCCACTGGCATCACAAGAGGAGGAGGGGTCTAAATTAGAGAAGATGATGTAAGAGATGAAGGGCCAGAGTAGCACGGCTCCTGTCTCTAATGGGAACCATGAACTGAGAATACAGGGTCCTGGTTGGCCGCCCATGCTGAGAACCAGTCTTTGTCAATGCCATCCCTTCAGGTGCTCGAGGGTGCCCACATCTACTTGGATGTTTAGTATTCTGTAGCTGTACAAGTGCCTCCTTCCCACTTGATTCTGAATGGTTCCAGATGGCTATGCCCTGGAATCATCCATGGAGTTGGTGATGTCACTACAGGTGAGTGACACCAGGTCAAGATAAGAGACCTGGTGATGCACTGGGAGCGCAGTGGTTTTCAGCACCCTCAGCAGCCTGCAGTGCAGACAAGGTAGTAGAAATGTCTCCACTCACTAACAGAAGGCTATGGATGAGGCCAACTGCTGGGACAGTTGACTGAGCACACTGAGTCTGCCTTCTTCAGTCTCACCCAGTCCTTTGCATGGTGATTAATGACATGTTTCCAACAGAGGCCAACCTGCCTTCATAACAGAAGTAGACATAATACAAGAGACCTCTCTAAAAAAAAGTCTGGTCCACCATCATATATGTGAATGAGTATTATGAGAGCAGTGACTGCAACCAGGGAAAATATTGGATCAGAACAGCAGTCAGCAAGTATAACCAACTCAGATGCCAAATTAATTTCTGTGTGTGCATGTATGCACATCTGTGTGTAGGTTGTATGCACGCCTGTGCAAGCGTATGTAGAGGCCAGAGCACAACCTTGAGTCTACCTTGGTTTTTGAGACAAGGGTCTGTCACTGAGCAGGAGCTAGCCAATGAGCTAGGCTGGGCAGTCAGTGAGCTGTCTCCACAGCATGGGATTACAAATATGTGTGATATTACAGGCATGTGTGACATTACAGGCATGTGTGACATTTCTAAGTAGGTGCTTGCTGGGTCCTCGGGCTTGTATGGCAAGCACTGTTGTGACTGAGCCAGCTCTCCAGATCCCCCAAAACTGTTTTAGTTTTGTAAATTGTCTCTCTCTCTCTCTCTGTGTGTGTGTGTGTGTGTGTGTGTGTACATATGCACATGTGCTCCCGTGTGAACACACATATGGAAGCCAGGAGACCTCCTTGTCCCTTAACATGGGTTCCAGGAACTAAACTCAGCATCACAGGCTTGTTCATTTACCCCTAGGCCCTCTTACTGGTCTGTTTTTAAGAACAGCATTTAAAGGCCACAGCTGCACCTGCCTGCGTCTGCATTGTCTCTGATGCATTCACACAGCACAGGTGATGCTGAGTGTTCCTACTGGAAGGGCACAGCCCACTGTGCCCAGCACACTGGCTCTCTGGCACTTCACAGTTAGGAATCATGATGAAATAAGGGAGACCCGCCCACAAGAAGACTGCCCTTCCCTTAGGTGGCTACTTTCTCCACTGTCTTTTCTAACATTGCAGGTTTTCTGTGGTGAGTGCAGTCTTTGAGGACAGACCAAAGTGCAGTAGTGATGTGGCCCCTGGATGTGTACCTTGTTTCCGATGGCCTTTTTGGGCGGGAAGCTGTAGGCCCTTACTTGCGGGAACGTGCTCTGCAGCTGGTGATGTAATGCCCGGAACTCGGTGTACCGCCGGTACACGTTCCACTCGTCGTCCTTTATCCGGATGTAGATCTGCCAGTGAGGGAGAAGGGAGACAGGCTGAGTCGGAGCTCCTAAGGTCATCCTCACAAAGGTGGGTGCTGCATCACTCTGTCCACACAGGGGCCACATTTGCCTCACACCACTGGGCACCAAGTACCTGGCACAAAATGGTGGTACTGACGACACCAATGGACACCAGAACAAGGCAGTGCGGCATGTGGCAGGAGAGCCCAAATGCACAGTATGTCCTCACCAGGCTGAGGGACGACAGGGATACAGCTCCCTGTTCACACGTGAGCTGCCCTTGAGTGACAGCATGGATTCATCTCCCTGGTCACATATGTGGCTTACAAGCTGCCCCATGGACACAAATTCTGCATGCTGGGGTCATGCTGATCACCACATAGTAGGTCAGCACATAGTAGGGGAGCTCATTTAAGACAAAGGGAAGTGAGGTCAAAATCTTTTAGACTGCTGAGGGGCCCAGCAGAACACAAGGCCATACCCAGGTGGCTCAAGCACATGCAGCAACGTAACTATCTCAGCCATGTTTGGGACACTGTCAAAGAACACTCAAGATGCTGCTAGGGCACAGCGCAGCTACTCAGTAAGGAAATCTGAGAAATGGGAGGCTGGAGGCTCAATTTATTTTTTGAGAAAAGTTTCCTCATGCATACCTGGTTGGCCTGGAACTCACTGTGTAGACCAGGCCAAATTCAACCTCACAAAGATCCTACTGCTCTGTCTGCTGAGTGCTGGTATTAAAGGTGTGTGCTATTGCTCCAAGATGAAGTGTTTTAGCCGGGCAGTGGTGGCGTACACCTTTAATCCCAGCACTCGAGAGGCAGAGGCAGGCGGATCTCTGTGAGTTCGAGGCCAGCCTGGTCTACAAGAGCTAGTTCCAGGACAGGAACCAAAAAGCTACGTAGAAACCCTGTCTCGAAAATCAAAAAAAAAAAAAAAAAAAAAAAGATGAAGTGTTTTAAAGCCTAAGAATCATAGAGAGGGCAAAGTCTCTGCACAATGACTATTGTACTTCATCACATAAAGCAAGGGTCCCTACATCTTCAAGACCTATTTACAGGCCAGTGGCCACAAATGCCTCTACTGTGAGTCCCACAGTCTGACTGCATTCTTCATAATATATGTTTAGAAGCCAACTCTTTTTATTCAGCGGAAGCAAGAGCATGCTTACTACCCTGCTCCAAGGATGCTCGGCTGCTGTCCTCTCCTCTACAGGCAGCCATACCCAGTTCTATAGGCCCCGTGTTTCTGCCCAGGACTCTCCGATCTGTCTCTAGTACAGACCTCAGACATGAGCTGTAGCTTCAGTGTGCATCCGTACACTCTTTAAGTCTGAAGCCAGGCCCTAAGCCTCAGTTTCCTCTTCGGCTTTTACTAATCCATCTTCAGGAGCAAAAACAACAGCAAAACATGATGCCTTTGTCTCTCATGCTGCCTGAAAGCTGCCAGGTCAAGTCCAGAACAGTCTCCAGGAGCAGGGGATGAGATAAAGGTGATGGCTGAGAGTCGGGATTCCTGTTATATCTACACTCCTGCCTTCGCTGGTACCCAGAGTGCATTTCTGGTGGCCACTGATAAACAGGGGAACAAGAAGAGTGTCAAGGCTCCATGGGTCACCCATGATAGGCTCGCCTCAGCACCTCACAGAGATGTAGATGGAGCTTTCAGCTCCGAAATGAGCCTCTGAACTCAGTGAGTGGGAGACCCAAAGTTGAACAGAAATGACAAACTTCAGCCAAACAGTTGGAGCACTGAGCACCTGTCATGGGCTGGTGTTACACCAGGTACATACATCTTCCTCTTGTCCTCAGGCTAAGCTGAAAGGCAGATGGTAGGAATGTATCCTCTTGAGATAAAGACTTGAACTCAGAGAGGCAAAGTCACTTGCTGGGGAAAATGGGAAAGTGAAGAATGTGAGCCCAGAGCTGTCTTCTCTCCAGTGCCCCATGTTTTCTGCCTCAATGCTCTGCGGCGATGGCTGGGGCTCACAGGGGCCTCTGCGACTCCAGACCAGCAGTGTGGCATTCAACATGACCTCCAAGTGTTCTCTTTGCCAGAACAGCCCCTGATTTCACCTTGATCTAATAGGATGGAATAAAAATCTTCTATGTTAATAGCAGCTGATCCCCAACAACCTGTTCCACATCCAAACCTGGGAAACTTGAGGTGCAGATGATTTGCTCATAAATTCTACACCACAGGACTAAGCATGCATATAATGAAAACTGTTAGGGCCATTCATTCATTCATTTACTTATTTTAAAGGGCTCCTCCCTTCCCATATAAGTCTGACTGGCCCACTTTCCTCATCTTGAACCATGAAGATGGTAACTCCTTGGAGGGAATGAAAAGCCATACAACCATGCTCCCTTTTAAACAATGGATAAAACCATGTAGCTCTTGACCCAGAAGAAGGAAATAAAATCAGTGGGTGCTGCTGGGGTTGGCACTAAGGCTCACTATCTTCTGCCTAAAGGGAAAATGATTTTGTGGAACAATTGTTTTGTACACTGTGAAGATGCGTCACTCTGGTTGGTTTTAGAAAGAGCTGAATAGGCAATAGCTAAGCAAGATTTCCAGGCACAGAGGATGCTGGGAAGAAGAAAGGCAGAGTCACAAGAAAATGCAGAAGAAGCAGGATGTGCATGCAGGAGGAGAGGTAACAGCCACAAGCCAGATGACAGGATATAGATTAATATAAACTGGTTAATTTAAGTTCTGAGAGCTCGCTAGGACAAGCCAAAGCTAGTGGCCAAGCTTTCATAATTAATAAGAAGTCTCCATGTCATGATTTGGGAGTGGGTTGGCTGGACAGAGAAAGACTTGCTACAAATGGTGTCCAATGTGGGGGCAAATATTTCAAATAAGACATGAAAAAGCTTTAAAAAAAAAAAAAAGGTTCCACACATACAAAAATGAAGCCAAATGTAGCTTCCTGGTCCTGCAGTCTCTCAGCCACAGCCTGCAGGCTTAAGCTGCCAATGTATCACGAGCTAAACTGTATGGCAGTTTAAGGTTTTGCTCATGCAGACAGAAATGGCTACAGATGCACAGTAAAGTAGATCCAACAGAAAAAAAGAAAAGAAACTCTAAACAGGTTATAGTGTGTTTACAAAAAAATGTGTGGACTTAAAAAATGAAAATGGACATAGGCAGACAGAAAAAGTAATTTAAAATAATAAGATAAAGTCTTTACAGAAAAAATAAAATAATATAAAAAGGATAAGCCACATAAAAATGGAAAATACACAGAGTATGGATCAAGTATGGTATTATATTGACTTCAAACTTTTTGATTGTTGATGAGCAACAATAGCTGCTGAGAGACATCAGATTATGAATGGGGAAGAGCCAGATTAAACCACCCTATATATTTTTAAAATGTTTTCACTTCAAAATGGAAGTCAAAAAATATGTTACATTGAGAAAGAGGTTATGCTTTTGTTTCCACGAGAAATGAAAGGCTGTGGATTCATCCAAAGTTGATAGAGATCAGATTCGATCAGGGAAGACCCCCTGAAAATCCTGGCTACAGACATAAAGAAATCAACATTAAAAAACCACAAGACAGGTGATATATACTTTACCTGCTCAAACATAAAATAAAAAAATCATCTTTGTTTGGCTTGTTACAGTGCAGAGTCCATACTTGTGAAGTTTATGTGTTTTCAGAGCAAGGGAACAAAATACCAAGGAAAATGGGTAGCCCAGGTGATCCAGGATCTCAGAGAGTCTCATTGCAGTTTCCCCAAAGTCTGGCATTCAGAACAGCTTCAAGGCTGCTGGCTGAGATGGTCCAGCCCCACAGACTATTCTAGTCAGGACCACAAATAAGCCTTGTGCTTCCCCATTGCACAGAGACTGAACAACAAATGCTATGGTTAGTTTTTCCAGGATTTGATCATTATCTCAATCTTCTCAGGTTCCATAAAGATGCTGTCACCCACAGTCAACAGGAAGCAGTCTGGAGAACCAACGTCCACATTCCTAAGAGGTGGGGTTATGGATATTTGTCATCATTTAGGAGGGGTGGCTACAAACTGTTATTGGTTATGTTCAGGGAGAAAGCGAAACAAAGGGGCTAGATTCGAAGATCTCTTTCTGAAGGGGGGGGGGGGTATGGGATAGAAATGATGGGTAAAAGGGTGAACTAACAACCACTATTCCCCAAAATTTTACACTGGTTTGGATTTTTGTATAATGATAAATTTAAGAGTATACTGTATTATATGGTTCTAATTCTTGTTTAAGGTATTATACCTGTGCAGCTTATTTAAAAATGTAATGTAAAGTTTTAGTCCTTAAAAGCTATTTAGAATAATAAAAAATACAAGTTAATAGTCATCTATATCAATTAAACTTGGAGTCATATTATATTATTTTCAAAGTCAGAGACATATTTTAAATATATAGTCTTCAGATGCCTCAAAAACCTATAGAATATGGCATTTAAAATGTTTTAATAACAAGGCTTTTCATAAAATGAAACACAGTCTGCTCTTAGCAACACCAATTTACTTCAAAAAAGGATGACAGGCATCGAAGAACCTCCATATAGAGTTTGCTTTCTTTGTGGGAAAAGCTAGATAGCCATTTGTGCAAAGAAACTTCCCTTGCCTTGCTGACGACAATATGTTGTTCAAACTGGACAAGCAGAACACAAAGGAAAGAGACTGTTGAGCTTTACCTAGAAAAAGCAGGGCCATCCTTCAAAAATTCTTGCTTCATAGAAAAGTCTGCCAGACCTTCTAGGCTTGTACGCCAAAGATGGATGCCCCAACATTGTGGAAGAACTTTGGGCAGCCAGATGTCTGTTATTTCTATAGGTTTGGAAGTGGTTTGCCCTGTACTTCCTGTTTACTTGGGTAATAGTATATCTTCCTGGGGTCTCTGATGGAGCTGAAGCTAGATACTTACAGTGTCCATTAGTTACAATAGAAGGTAAATTAGGTGCAGAACTTTGGATTCACCAAGATAGAATGAATGGAGAATTTTCTCCAAAATTG